TCCGGCGACTCCGGAGGGACTTCAACCGGGAAGCGCTTCCATTAAGCAGGTGGCGGCTGCGGCTTCCTCGTGCCGCACGGATCGCGGCGACGCTGCGGATCCGTTGGGAGGTTTCCCTGTTTCCTCGTTGTCCGGCTGCTCTGTTTGCTTTTCCAAGCTGGATCGGCCGCTTTGAGCTGGCGGAAGGCGGGGTGCGACAGGCTGATCCCGGGCTCCGGTCCAATCCCAGAGGATCCAGGCTGCTCCCAGGGCCAGCTGGGTGTCCCAAGCTTTGCCGGGATCCCTCGGGGCAGCTGCTTTTCCTCCCGCAGCTCCCGTTGCTCATGGATTTCTCTCCGGAGGGAATGATGGCGAATGATGCCGGGGACGATGCGGCCGAGCTGGAAGCGGAGCTCATGGCTCTCGTGGGAGGCCAGCCGGATCCTAAAGGAAAACCCAAGGGGAAAAGTAAGTGGCACGGCCTCGGGGGAGGATGTATCCGCACGGGAATGCCCCTCTGCCATGAATTTCTCCACCTGGTTCATCTTGTGCCACCTGGAAAACCAGCCCGGGCTGTTATTTCCTGCCCCATGGCTTCGTGGATCCCTCCGGATCAGACCCGCTGCCTTGCGTGGTTTTCCACGGCTTTCCGGCCGCGGGATTGCGGGATACAAACGCGCTCCGTGGCGCTTCCCTGTCCGCAGCGCCCTTGCCCATGGAAGCCATCGAGAGGATGGCTGCTCTCTGCATGAAGGACCTGGATGAGGAGGAGGAGGGAGACGACGAGGAAGACCTGGAGGATGAGGACGATCTCATGGTGCGAAGGGCTCCGGGTGACGCGGGAGATTTGGGATGCGCATCCATGTTCCTGGCTGCTCCTTAGCCCTCATATTCCCTGGCTGAGCCTCCGTCGGCTTTGGGATCAAGGGGATCTGAGGAGGTTTTTGTCCCTGGTTGATCATTAATGGAATTCTTGGCTTGTAGGCAGAGCTCCAGGAAGTACTTGGTGAAGGGGAAGGAGATGCCGATGTCCCGGCGCCGGCTGCAAAGGTAGGAGATTCCTCTTTCCCCTTTGCTTCCTCCGCTGTTCCCAGCATCCAAGCCCTTTTCCATATGTGTCATCGTCTGCTGGAGCAAATATGAATCCGTCATACAAAACCTGGATGGAAAACAGGGATTTGGTGCCCAGGAGCTCCGAAAAAAAGCGATGGGCCAAAGAGCTGCGTCCCACGCGGGATGGGAGCGGATCCGCTCCGCAGGGAAGCCCGAATCCGCTGGGGATGCTCAGAAACTTCCCGCCCGGACTCGATGACCTCCTAGGTCTTTTCCAGCCGGGATTCCCTCATTCCCGCAGGTGGATGAGGCGCCTCCGGGATGCGGCGGCGTCGCGGCCACGCTGGCGGAGCGCGCGGCCATGTACAGGACGGCCATCGGGAACGCCCGGGAGGCCGGAGACGCTTCCAAAGTGCGGCGCTACGAGCGGGGCCTCAAGGTGAGGGCCATTCCCGCTCATCCCGTTAAACGAAACCCCTTTTGCTCTTAAATCGGCGCCGGGATTTTGCTCTTGGCTCCCTTCTCCCCGTGGTGGCGAGTGCTTGGACTCCGGCTGCTTCCAGAAGCTGAATTTACTCTTCTTGGAAAATTGGGTTCTGATTTTGGATGGGGGGCAAAATCCCAGGAATGAGCAGGTGCCGTAACCGGCTCCAAGGCACGGAGCTGCCTGGCATGGCCCGGATCACCGTAACACAACCTCCTATTCCAGGTCGCTTTGTGGTTCCTTAAACCCTGCGAAGAGTCCGAGGAGGTTTTGGGGAGGTTTTAGAGTCTTTTTTTATTTTCCTCGGGATTTTTGGCAGACGCTGGAGAACATGCTGAGCTCCGCCAGGAAAGGGAAGCACGTCGACGAGCAGGACATCCCGCCGCCGGTGGCTTTAGGGAAGAGCTCCGAGCGCTCCGGATCGCCAT